TTTTTTTGCCAGCATCAGATTCATTTATTTATCTTATATATCCTTTAAAGGTAATTATCATACATACAGATTAACAACCAGACTAATAGGTCAAAATAACATATAAAACACATAAAACATTTGTAATAAACCAAGGTACACTTTTAGATACCTTGTCCATGATGAATTACAGTAACGGGTTTCTCTCTTTTTTCCTATTATCTGTCTTTCATTTTTGCACTTCATTTATATATATGTTGAGTTCCTCATATAAGAGAAACCATGCAATATTTAAACTTGTGTCTGATTTATTTCACTTAACATTATGGTCTCAAGATGCATCCATTTTCCTACAAGTGTTTCAAGTTCATCTTTCTTTATGACAGAATAGCATTCCCTTTTATATATATGCTGCATTTTTTTTATTCATTCTTCTGTTGAAGGACATAGTCTGCTTCCAAGATTTAGCTATTATGAATTGTGTGGCTATAATCATGGGCATGCATCACTATGGTATGATGTCTTTAACTCTTTGGGGAACATTCCTACAAGAGGAATAGCTAGGTCAAATGGAATTTCTATTTTCAGTTTTTGAGGAATGTCCACACCGATTCCCATAGTGGTTGCACCAGTTTACACTCTCACCAACAGTGAAGAAGGGTTCTTTTCTCCAAGTAGCCTCACCAGCATTTGTTACTGGTCGATTTCTTGATGATAGCCATTCTTTCTGGAGTGAGATGAAATCTCAGTGTTGTTTTGTGTTCTTTGAATGCCCAGAGATGTTGAACTTTTTTTATGCACATCTATTTATTGGTTGTTTGTACTTCTTTATCTGATAAGTGTCTATACATTTCAGGTGTCCCTTTTTAAAGGGGTCTCTAAATTTGGGGGCTCTAATATTTTTTAGTTCTTTATGTATTCTAGATATTAGCCCTCTGTCTGAGGAGTAGCTGGAAAAGTAGTTTTCCCATTCTGTAGGCTCACTCAGTTAATGGTTTTCTCTGATGTGCAGAATCTGATGTGACATCATTTGTTGATTATTGGTATTATTTCTTGAGTACCAGGGTTCTACTTGGAAGGTCTTTGTCTACACCTATGTCTTCAAGTGTGTTATCTATTTTGTCTTCCAACATATTAATGCTTTGCATTATAATGTTCAGATACTTGATCCATTTTGAATTTAGTTTAGTGCATGGTGAGAGATAAAGGTTTATGTTCAATCTTTAGCATGTGAATAGCCAGTTTCCCCAGCACCATTTGTTAATAAAGCTCTCTTTCCTCCAGCAAAAAGATTTGGCCCTTTTGCCAAACATAACATAGATCAGTGTGCCTGGAGTTGTTTTTGCATCCTCTATTTTGTTCATTGATCCACAAGTCTGTTTTTTGCCAGTATCATGCTGCTTTTATTCCTGTAGCTTTGTAGTATACTTTGAAATCAGGGATTATGATGCCCCTTGGCTTGCCCTTGTTGCCCAGAATTGCGTTGGCTCTTCTGGTTCCATATGAATTTTAAGACTGCTTTCTCAAGTTCTGTGGAATGTTATTGGTATTTTGACTGAGATTTTGTTAAATCTGTACAACAGTTTGGAAGTATGGCCATTCTGACTCTCCTTGTTCTGCCTATCCAGGATCAGGGCATGTCTTTCCATTTTCTTTTTGATCACCTTTTTTCAGAGTGCTACATTTTCATTGCAGAGGTCTTTCGCTCCCTTGGGGATTAGGTTAATTCCTAAGTATTTCACTTTTTTGATGCTATTGTGAAAAGTGTTGTTTCCCTAATTTCTCTCAGTGCATTTGTTATTGGTGAACAGGAAGGCTATTGATTATTGAGGATTGACTCTGTATCTGACTACATTAAGAAATGTAGGGTGTTTTCCATTTTCTTTTCCTTTTATTTTATTTTTTTCACTTGTAAAGAAAGGTAATTTTTGCTCACATTTCAGGAGATCCATATTTGGGGGCTGTCTCTGGCAATGTTTTCTTTCAGGCACTGTCCTGATAAGCAGGGTTTCACATTGCAGGAGATGATGAGTGTGTTTGAGTGTGGTTATGTGTGCGTGTGTGTGTGTGTGTCTAAAACAATTTTTAAAGAGGATTCTAGATTCATACAACTAGGAATACTAGTAATATCAATATTTATTATTGTGATTCATATTATTTTCATTTTATTTTTAATACTTTCCTTAATTGTGAACATTTTCACATATATGTGTTTTTAAAAATTGCATTTCTCATTAAAGATTTTTAATCTAGTAAATTGACATTTCTTATGACATATAACCAGAAATACTTTATAAAGCAAACCATAATCAAATATTAGGCCCAAACAATTTTATATAATAAAAACATCAAAGGATGTGGAATAAGAATAGTACTTTTGTTCAAGTTGTATGTACATGTCCTATGATTTAGTCATTTAACTTTTCTGACTTCTCTGTTTTTTCTGTATAGTAAGAACAGTAGATTTCAGTGTTGTAAGGGGGTTGTGACCTTGTGGGAAAAATAAAATTTCACATAGGTTTAAATTAAGTTTTAAAATCACTGTACTACTTTTACTCAATGGAACAAAAAGCTCAATGTAATCTTAAGTCAGATGTATTGCATGTGTCCTGAGATCATTAGAAGCATCTCTGTTCTAAAATACACCCAGTGCTTATGTGCTAGGAGGTAGTGCAGATTTCTGAGTACCAACTACTTGTAAATGAAGGCGTGCTGTGTGAATCTGACATCTGAAAAGAAAATTTTTTAATTTTCTAGAAAAGAAACATTTGAAAGTAAAATAAAAACGTAAAATAAAAAATAAAATTTTAAAAATGTAAAGTAAAAAATGTGGTGAGTGAAGTTCGCCTCTGGAATGCAAATCTGCCACTGGCTCTGTCTCTGTCATTGGGCTGGTTATTTGACATTTTTGAACTTTATTTTTCCTTCATCTATGCCACAGGAATGACCATGACATGTACCTTGCCGAAATGTTTTAAGAGTCAAATAAGAGTTTGAAGAAAAGATATCAAGTATGATAATTTTCATTTTCCCATAGTTCCATGGTTAACCATGGTCCACAAATGCTGAATGGAAAATTCCAGAAACAATTATAGATTATAAATTGTATGTTGCTTTTAGTAGCGAGAAGAAATCTCATGCTATGTCCTTCTGTCTGGCCTGTAACATGATTTATCCCTTTGTCCAGCATAACAACATTGTCCAAATTATCAAGTCAATCGTCATAGTATGACAGTCCTTATAACCAAGCAAACAATAATGGCTTAGTAATGGCTTTAAGATGCAATATTTTATTACAACATATTGTTATAACAGTTTTGTTATTATCCTTAATAGTGAACTTTTTTATGCACATAGAGGAAAAACATAATAGATACACGTGGGTCAGTGATATCTAGGTTCAGTAACATTTGTCCATTGAAGGATCTGGGAATTTAGGGCCCAAGGATGCAAAAGATCATGAAACAAATAAACAAAATTTTCCTATGAGATTATTTACTATCTAAAATTGTGTTCCTGTTCAATAACATTCTAATGGCATTTTTTACCTCTGCATTCCTTACTGTGTAGATAACAGGATTTAACAGGGGAGTGACAAGAGTATAGAATACAGTTACTGCTTTATCCATATGAAAGGTGGCTACTGGTCGCAGATACATAAAAATACAGGGCACAAAGAACAAGACGACGACTGTGATGTGGGAGCCACAGGTGGAGAGGGCCATTTTCCTCCTCGCGGAGCTGTAAGTCCTCAAAGAGTGCAGGAGGTGCACATAGGACAGCACCAACATGACAAAGGTGATCACAGCCATCCCCCCACCATTGACAGCAACCAAGAGCCCAGGAAGGAAATGGTCGGTGCAGGCCAGTTGTATCAGGGGGAAGATGTCACACATGAAATGGTCTATCCTGTTGGGGCCACAGAATGGGAGCCAGAAAGTGACTAGAATCTGCCCGAAGGAATGGAGAAAGCCCACTGCCCAGCACACCCCCACCAGGACACGGCACTTGCTGTGGCTCATCAGGGTCACATAGTGCAGAGGTCTACAGATGGCCACGTAACGGTCATAGGCCATGACCACGAGGAGGACAGTCTCTGAACCTCCCAAGAAATGTTCCAGAAAAAGCTGCATCATGCAAACATTGAATGAGACAGCTTTTGTGTCTGAATGCAAATCCACTAGCATTTTAGGGATTATGGAAGAAGAATAGCATGCATCTATCAGAGATAAGAAAGCCAGGAAAAAATACATTGGCGAGTCCAAAGTGTGACTGCAGATTATAGTGGTGACAATGAGCAGGTTTCCTGCAACAGTGACAATGTAGGTGATGAGTAACACGAAAAACAGAATTTCCTGCATCTCAGAATTCTGCATCAGCCCCATTAGAATGAATTCAGTCACATTCATTCTGTTTTCTTCTATTCCAATGTCAATGCTGAGTTCAGGGGTGGTTGGTTAACCTGGAAAAATAAAATCCTTCATAGCAAATGTGATGAGCCAGAATATTTTGGGTCATTAGGTAAACCCAAAGAATTTAGTACTATAAGCTATTTTCTTTTTTTGGTACCGGGGATCGAACTCAGGTCCTTGCGCTTGAGAGGCAGTCCCCCGCCCTATAAGCTATTTTCTTTCACTGTATTCCAGAAGAGAACAAACATACTATGTTTTCTATTTCATTTATTTTTTTTATTTTTTTATTTTTTTGGTACTGGGGATCGAACTCCGGACCTTGCGCTTGAGAGGCAGGCACAGGAACCACTGAGCTAAATCCCCACCCCACATTTTCTATTTTATAAAAGGGGATTCGAACAACCTTTTGCACCCGTGTATCTCAACTTCTTATAAGCCTGCTCAAACCCCTTTACAGCCCTGTTGACCGGTTTCACTTGTCACTTGAGCAAATTTCACTAGGCCTTTCCTGAAGGAAAACTCCACATGGGGAATCTACATGATGGCAAACCGGATTCCTTCTCAGCCACAAAGATAAGCTAGAATGATCCTTTCTAACATAACCCCTGGTTCTAGTTGCACACACTGTTGATGTATAAAGTCTACTCCACCCCTTCCTCTATTTAGAAACTCTTAAATAAGTTGCAAAGAAACTACCCTGTGGGAGGGAAGGGAAAGGGGACGTAAAAAAGGAATGAAAATGTGTTATGTACATATACCAACTCCCCACAAGGAGTGGAAACACTGTGTACTACAAACGTGCTAATTTTTTTTTAAAAGAATTTGGTTCAGAATGGCCTGATCATAAGGTATTTTGTAAACATTAATTAAATGAATACTTAAGTTGGAAGACTCCAGTTCCTCTGTTGTTTTTTTTTCTAGCTAGCTCCAAACTGAAGTGCAAAGGAGCCATTCCTTCCATCCTACAGATGTCCCTTCATGCTTGTCACCCTGCTGGCTGTCCCCACAGTCAGTTTCCCAGCTCCTTCCCTCTTTCCCATGTGCAGTGGCAGCTGAAGGTAGAGGTGAGGGAGGAAGAGAAAGTCTGTCAGGGGTTTCTTTGACTGGCTGCCTCCTACAGTTTGGACAGAAGAGTGCCTTCTACGAAGACTTCAGCTAAGGGGTGCCCCCCTTTGGGGTGCAGCTTTACAAGACTCGTGGGCCTGTCCTGCAATCACCTTCTCCCCCCACAGTCTCAGGCGGGTTTGCAGCAACGCTGCCTGCTGTTACTCACCCTGCAGTGCATTATCTGACCTTATTAGTTTCTTTTAACTCTAAGAAGTTTACTTGATAAACAATATTTGTTTGCATTTATATATTAATTGGTACATTTTAGTTATACAAGACATTTATATTTATCATTGGGTGTCTGTACCTGTACATGATGCATCTTGGTTCTTATTTTTTCCCCATTCCCTGTGTTCCCTTCACCCCCTCCACCCTTCCCTATTTATATAGACTTTGTTTCCTTTTTTTTTTCTTTCTCATAATTTTTCCTTTCCCTTCTTTCCTTTCCCCTTCCTCTCCCACCACCCCTACCCCTTTGGACCTTTTCCTATTTTAAATTATCAATTATTCATTTTAATCATTTTCATCCTTATTTATACTTTCAGTTTCTCACACTAGAGAGTCTTAATCAAACTCTCTTCCAATTTTCATTTCGATTTTAATATTTCTTGTCCAGACTCCAAGGATGTGGAAAATTTGTATTTATCCTTGTAAACAAATAGAAGTCAGTGAGAAAATGACTTCCTTTTCATATATGTATTTTATTCAACAGTCAATTGCGCTATTTTTTGCAGTATAGCTGCTAAATAAATTTACTACTTACCAGGAAAGACTCTACAGTGCAATGTTAGAAGTCTTTCTTCATCTAGGCATGGTGGTGCATGACTAACTTTGGTGCTCTGGGAGGCTGAGGCAGGAGGATAGCAAATCAAGCTCAGCCTGGGCAGTTTAGTGTCTTAGCCAGATCATATCTTTAAAAAGTTATATATAAAATATGGTTATAGATATGAAACGGGGAACTTAACTCAGTGAGAAGGCCCCTAGTACTGTGAAAATATTTTCTTGAAAAGTCTTTTTTGTGAAGGACTGGGGTATAACATAAAGATGACTACAGGAGTGGTCAAAATATATGGTAAATGTTAAAATTTTAAAACATACTACAATAGCTGACCCTTTGCCATTAATCCCCTTCAAAATACTTCTCCTAGATTCAAACACACTTATCCCATCATTCTTGCCACTTTCGGTAGTAGTTCTGGAAGTTTTTTGTGAGTGTCTTTATAAGATTTAATAAAAAATACAGTGATACCATATCTGCTGCTTGCATGCTACCCAATAGAAAAGTAGGCTTATAAAACCATTCCAGTGTGTCCTCATTCACCTTAGTCACTGAGTCTGGCACTGTGAGACTTTTGGCTCTACTCCAAAGTCAAAATGAGGATGGAAGGAAAGCAATTTGAATCAATTCAGTATATCAAGGTACCCCGACAGTGCAGCTAAATGTTCACAAAATAAGACTTCAGAAACACATTAAAAGTGTCTAGAACAATGGGGTGCACATGTTCTAAGCCAGGGAGGGGGGCTTTTTGAGAAGGATTAGTGGACATGTGTCTTTAAATGTGTTTGATTTTTTTTTTGTAAATTTAAACAGTCACCATATTTGTAGATCACTTGTAGATCTATGTTTCTTCAATCTACACATATTCTAGGATGCTGTCTTAGGGTTATGGAAATCTAGGAGTCTACAAAGCCTATCCTTTTCATTGTCTTGAAGTGAAATAAAGCTGTTTCACAAATCTTTTAAGTTGTAGAAGATGTTAATACTGTAAATAATCATTGCTCATAGAACTACAAATATTTTCTGGCAGATTGATTTTCCTGAGCATTGCATATAAAACATTTGAATTTATTTGTAAATCCATTACAACCCCCCCACTGAACAACACAAGTGTGATACATTGTGTTCTCCTTTAGACTAATTATAATCATTAATCTCTTTTCACTAATTAGTAAGCTATGTAAAATCTTTGCCATGTGTCAATTTTATATTTGTATGAGACTTGTGATTTCACTCTATTTTTTGAAAATTATTTTGTCTTTTTATGTTAAAATTACTGATGAAATTTAAAGAATCACAAAGATACATATATTCTTACCATGTGTGTTGTTTCAGCATGAACTATTCAACTTTACTGTATTTGGGATTTATTTCTATTTGAAATAGGATGGAAACAAAATGTGAAATTAAAGAACATTTTTATTAATCTCCCAATTCTAAACTCATCCAGAATTAGCTAATGTGAGCTTTTTTTTTTTTTTGTACTGGGGATCAAACTTAGAACCTTGCGCTTGCAAGGCAGGTGGCAGCACCACTGAGCTAAATCCCTGGCCCTAAAGTGAGCATTTTTATCAATCAAAATAATAACAAGTCTGGAATGAATTATGTCAATTTGGCCATAGGGTGGGTGCATGTACATGTGTGTGTGTGCTTGCGTGCGTGTGTATGTGTGCATACACATAGGGGCTACTTAAAAGGGATACATAGTTTCAACATCTGTTTAATAATTCACACATCAGGTCATGTCCAAATTCTTGTTATCTACTTCTACATATACCTGGAATACTACAAAGTAGAGATGTAGCAGTAAAGAATATGGAAAAACTAGAAGTGTAAATGAGGTTCAGAATGTATAATTCATAATGTAAAATAGGAAGAAAAAGTCTAAAGGAGTAGGGGAAGTGGGATAGGTAGGGGAAAGGAAAGAAGAGAAAAGAAAAAATATGAGAAAAGGAAAAAATGGAAACAAACTCTTTGTAAATAAGGAAGAGTAGAGAGGGTGAAGGGAGGGCAGGGGAATGGAGAAAAAATAAGAATCAAGATACGTCATGTAAAGGTACAAGATCCCAATAATGAATGTAACTGTACTGAACACCTAAAATGTACCAATGAACTTAATGAGAGTAAAAAAAAAAAGGAATAAGGAAAAAACCTACCTTCATGTCCTAGGAGAAAGAGACAGAGGACAGCGATTTTTTAAAAGGAATTATATACTATGGAAGACTGTATGAGATGCTATGAGAAAAATAAAGCAGGCAGCATAAAACAGAGTCTGAAGAGAGGGATCATTCTGTACGAGGCTGTCAGAAAAGGCTCCATTGAGACGTAGTAATAAAGAGGAAGGAATGGAGTAAGGAAGGGGGACCGAGAAAATATTTAGAGGAAGACTTCAGACCCAAATGCCAACAAGGGGGATCCCTGCAGAAGGAGTAGAGCCAGGAATGTCTAAGGGGGCTGCAGCTAGGGTGGGGCCAGCTGGGACGGCCAGATGCCAGGCCTCTCAGGGCTTTGTAGACCACCCTAAGGGCTGTGACTTCACCGTAAGTGGCAGCTTCTGGGTTTCCACAGCAGAAGGGCAGAATCGGACTTAACTGTCAGATAGAACATTTGGTCCACTGCCTGAAGAAAAGGGGCAGAGGACCAAGAGCAGAAGCAGGGAGCCGAGTTAGGGCGTCATCGTTATGCAGAAGGTGAAGGCAGTCCAGACCAGGGTGGTTGTGGGGAAAGGAATGTATTGTGAAGGTGAATCCAGCCAAGTGCCTCGTATGGAGTGTAAACCTCATGTAAATGCTGGTGTACTAGCTGTGGCTTCTACACATAAAATTGTCTCAATGTATGACAATGCTTTCTTCAAATGATACGATCAAAATCCTTGGAATAATTTTTTCCTGTTTACATCCCATATCAAGCAAATTAAAACAACCCATATATTGGCTGCGTATTTCATACCTATTTGTGTCCATCAGTGAGCCAGTCTCTCTTTCATTTTTACAGCAATTTCCCAAGCCATGATCTTGTTTAGAGAAAATATTCAAGAATTCCAGAGATTCACTACATTTTATAGAATTATTACTTTTGCTATTTATATGTAAAGCTAGGATGCCAGCCTACTAAGTAACATTGAACAGTTTACTTATCCTAAGTCTTATTTATTCCTTCTGTGAAATGAGGGTATGATGAGTCTTTGTCTCAATGTGGATATGATTTGTATCAAATTTTTTACAAGAGCAAGCCATCATAAAAAAGAGAGCAAGCCATCATTATGAACTCTACAGGGAGATGACATGAGACCATGATTATTAAAATCACTATGTTCTTTCTACAAGGCAAAAGTAATGAATTATTTAAAAGAATACCACTTTCCTCCACCGTTTATCTGCATGGTTTTTAGCCAACCAGTATCATTTTTTCCTCTTTACCAAGGTGCTGTAAGCTATTTAACACACACATTTTATACATACATACATACATACATACATACATACATACATCACACGTGAGACTTAGTGGTTAATTTTGACATTAGGCACAGAGAAAGTGTTTATTACATTTCTAAAATATATGTCAAATATAATTTTCTGACATAAACATATTTACTTATAAGCATTGTTGTTCATGACAGAATTCTCTGTAACTACACTGTCTGCTACTCGACTGCTCAGTGACCTCTGTCCATCACACACACACACACACACACACATACACACACACCAATGACCCTTACGTGTGCACCTCTTTCCATCATCTTGTAAGACATGTAGCTTATTTATGCTGGAGACACAGAGAATACAGTAGTCTAACTGTCTACTCTGGGGACTTCCACCCTAGTTTCCTTCCGGCCACTTCAAAATGCAAATGACTGTTTCAGATGGGAAAATTGAGACACCAAGAGTTGAACCATGTACTCTAGGACTTGAAGTGAGCGAAGCAGAAAGCATAATTCAAGTCCGTCTGGCCTCGGGTTTCATCTTGACTCAACTCCAACACCCTTCACACATAAAACTTACCCAAACAGTGTGAACCTCAACCTCGCCCTTCAACAAAGGCTTTAAAGACTATCTCTCATCCTGACTTACAGAGGCATAAAAGAATGACTCAAAAAGCACTTGGGAATTTAAAGGACGTCATCCTCCAAGGATCGTCTGAGAATTTCTCATCTTCCCTCTCATAGGTATTTAGAATTATCAACTTGCTTATTTTGCTGTGTCAGTTAATAACACATTACTATCCCCACTGAAACACTATCTCTAATCTGCTTTAAATTCAGTATTAAAAGAAAATACATGTTAATTATGCATTATTGTAGACTACTTTCATAATAACTACAAAACAAGTGTGGTATAAGTGCATGATTTCAAATTCACAGAAAAGCTAAGGGAGAGATAAGTTTATTTCATTTATCCAGGATAATGTAAGTAGTAAGTTGTAGAACTGTAGTTCAAAACATCCCTTTCCCTAGATAGGTAGAATCAATATCATTAAAATGACAATTTTACCAAAAATGATCCATAGATTTAACGCAATCCCTATTTAAATAACCACAACATTCTTAGGATCAAAAACAGTTCTAAAATTTATATGGAACCAGAAAAGAACCATAAAAGCCAAAACAATACTGAGCAAAAAAAGAAAACTAGAAAGCATCGTGATTTCCAACTTCAAGTTAAACTATGAAGCTATAGTAACAAAAACAGCATGGTACTGGCACAAAAATAGACCTGTAAACGAATGAAATGGGATAGAAGACAAAATACAACTTCATGCAATGTCATGAAGATTAGTGAAAAGAAGATGTCCACTCCTGTTGAAGTTTTATGTAAGGGATTTCCTGCAGAATTTGCCATGTACTTAAACTACTGCCTTGGGCTGTGCTTTGAGGAGCCCCAGATTATATGTATCTGAGGCAGCTATTTCACATCCTTTTCAGGACCTTGAATCACCAATATGACTACACATTTGATTGGACAATGTTAAAGCTGAAAGCAGCACAGCAGGCAGCCTCTTCCCGTGGGCAGGGTCAGAAGGTCCAAACCCCCAAAGGCAAGCATCCTGACAAAACCAAGAGTAACATGAAAGGGTTCTAAGCATGAACTGAAGAACAGAAGAAGCAGAGCAGAAGGTCGGAGCAGCATTTGTTTCTCCCCAAATCTAGAAATTTTAGTCCATATGTACACTAGCCAGTGGTTGTGGACAACCATTAACTTGGTGTAAAGAACTTAATTTCAGTATAAACTGGCTCCAGGCAGCATTGCTGATGCTTTGTGTGGAGTTGTAGCCGCTGTAACTGTGAATATTAACTGAGATAGTGAAACATGGTGTCCGGTTTTTATTGCATTTCTTCAAGTGGAAAAGTTAACTAAATGGTTGACACACACAAATTGGTGGAGAAATTGTGCATATGCCAATTTTTAGTTGACACCTTTTATTTTGAAATATCCTGCTTTGAGATCTCATTTCAGAAGAATGGCATGAACTGTCTTCAGCTACAGTTGTGATGGTTGTAAACGCTCACAATTGTGCATTCTTAGGGTTTTCCATCCCTGGGGTTTGCAAGTTGTTCACTTAAAACATCCTTTAAATGGTTGGCTTCTTGTTTGCAAGCCAGCTGATATGGCAGCAACCAAAGATTCCAGTGTTTGAGCATATGAATGACTGTCTGCTTACCTGTGCTAGAAATAACAGCATCTAAAGTGAAGACTTAAAAATTTAGTGACTAATAGATTATCCTTAGGACTCTGCATTAACTCTGTAATGTTCTTGGTATTAAAAAAAAAGCATGTTTGTCACTAATTTAGTTAACATCTTACAACTGAACATGTATGTTGCTTAGATATGTAATCACTGTAAACATCTATACGATCTGGGATTTTGTTTTTATTTTGAAATGGGAGCTTTTTTGCTTACAAGTTCATTAAAAACTAAAAACTGAAAAAAAGTAAATAAAAAATACAAGTTGGTTAGAATATACAAAATCAAGGACATACTTCCCGGACATCAACTCTACACTTTAACTCTGCCACATTATAAAGTAAACAAACTTCATTTTTCATGAGCTTACCCTCAGCTACAGACATGTGCTATGGAACTTTATTTAAATCAATTTAACCAGGAAATATGTTATTTCTGTTAGATTAAGAGTTTTAATGATCTGGATTATTAATTTTAAACTCTCAGTCTCTTAGAGGAAAAAGGACAAGTTCTACTGAGCCACACTTGCACGAGTAAGGAGGTACCATGACCCACAAACAGGAATAGATCTTCACCATTATCATGAACAGTGATAAGCTGGTAAGGAGATGAGTGTTAATTAGCTTCCTTGAGAATTACTATAATGTATATATAGATCAAAACACCCTATTGTACTCTATAAATGTATAGCTATTATTTATTAGTTAAAAATAAATGCAAGTTTTTAAAAAGAAGAAAAAAGAACTTGAAATAAAAACAAAAATTGCTGCCCACCAAAGAATCTTAAAATAGTATGATTATAGCAGGGCATGGTGGGGCATGCCTGTAATCCCAGCACTCAGGAGGCTGAAACATGAGGATTGAAGTGAGTTTGAGGCCAGTATAGGCTACATAGTGAGTTCTAAGCTAGCTTGGACTACACAGTGACACCCTGTCTCAAAAAAAGCACATATATATACGTATATATATACATATATATATATGTATATATATATGTGTGTGTGTGTGTATAAAATTAAACATGCAGTTCTCTTGGTCTCTTAAGGGTATACTGTATTTTACTTAGCAAAGATTGATTTTTATGGCTGTTTCAGTATAGGCTAAACAACCAAAAAAGAATATAAAATGTAATCACTGATAAAACTGATGGTGAAAGTACCCCTTGTTTCTGTGAAAGAATGAATGTCAGGTTCTGCTCGAGGGATTTGAGCCTCTCCCAGCAAAAGTCACTTTGGTATTCCAAAGTTTCCTCATAGCATTTTTCATTTCCGCATTTCTCAAGGTATAGATGAGAGGGTTCAGCATGGGAGTAATGAAAGTTAAAACCACAGTCATGGATTTATCAATAGGAAATGTAGAACTGGGCCTTGCATACAAGAAGATGCAGGGTATGAAGAATAAAATGACCACTGTGATGTGGGAGGCACAGGTGTAGAAGGCTTTGCATTTCCCTTCCAAACCACGGCCCTTGAGGGAGTGTAAAATGACCCCATAAGAAACTAGAAGGATCAAGAAGGTGACAGAGCAAATGGCGCCTCCGTTGGCGATCATGGACAGCCCAAGCAGGTAGGTGTCAGCGCAGGCAAGTTTCAGCAAGGGGTACATGTCACACACAAAGTTGTCGATGACATTGGGGCCACAGAAAGGGAGCTGGTAAATAAAGAGAAATTGAACTAAGGAGTGAAGAAAGCCTCCAGCCCAGGCCACCAACAGCATGAGGACACACACCCGCCAATTCATGATGGTCAGATAATGAAGAGGCTTACAGATGGCCACATATCGGTCATAGGCCATCACCACCAAAAGAATGACTTCGGCACCAGCAAATAAGTGGTCGATAAAAACTTGAGTCATACAAGCCTGGAAAGAAATGGTCTTTCTCTCATAGAGTAAGTCAAAGATCATTTTAGGAGCGATGGTAGTAGAATAGACTGTGTCTATAAATGAGAGGTAAGCCAGGAAAAAGTACATAGGGGAACCCAGTAAGTGGCTGGCTGTGATTGTCACCATGATGAGCAGGTTGCCCATTATTGTCACAATGTAGATGAGTAAGAATGTGACAAAGAGAATTTTTTGCCCCTCAGGATTCTGGGTTAGACCCAGGAGGATAAACTCAGTTACATTGTTCTTATTTTCCATGGGTTCTTCTGAAGGTGTTGAGTTTGGCTCAGAGCCTGAAAACACAGGAGATAATAGTGAATTCAAGGTGATGCCAAGGTTTGTGACAAAAATAGGATGGTCTCTTCAACAGTGTTTCCTCCACATGGCATCACACCGAGGAGCTCACTAGAAAATGAGTGACTGGAATCTCCTTCCACTACTGCCCTGCTCATTTTCACAGATTTCTTTCTTCAATTTGCACGATAGGATTTCAGAATTGTAACCAACCGACATACACAAGTCTCGTGAAAAAAAATAAATCCTACAGACCTGGAAGGAAATGACCTTTTTCTCATAAAGTTTATAATCATCTCACGAACAACAGTGGTAGAATAGACAGTTTGTATTAACAACAAATCAGCCAGAAAAATGTAGAGGGGGAAGCCTACCGACTAACAAATATCAACCAAGGTGCTTTTTCCAGACTATCTTTCATGAAGACTGCATTTTTTTTTTTTTGCATTCTATTTCCTTTTTTTTTCTTTAAGGCCTTTGATCCTCTGAGGTCCATCATGAAAACAATTCATAGGTAATGACTTCACTCATATATTTATGCAAAATAATAAATATTACATGCAGGTATACTGTGTGATCAAAATACAGTGAATGCCTAAGTATAAAACTATTATTATCCTAAGACACATTGTCATTAATCCTGCTGAAAATACTCCCCTCACTTCCACACACTTTTCCTTAGCTCTTGACACCTAAGGAAGCCCTTCTGGAGGCCTCTTTGTGAGCTGTTAGTTGGCTCTCGTGGCTGCATCAATGTCCTGAATCACTTCAAACCGCCCGTTTACCGTTCCTACTTATTTTGACTTTGAGGAAAAGCCAGAAATGCACAATGCCAGGTCTGATGAAGAAGAAGAAAGATACACCAGTAAGTTTTTATTTGGCAGAAATTGCTCTAAACATTTTATTTAGGATATCAAGGTAGCAGGAAATGATTCACTAAAGAGGACTTCCAGAACTACCTCAGAAAGTGACAAGAACAATGGGATGTGTTCCAAAAGAGTGGAAAGATTTTGAAGTTAATCACAATGTTTTTGTAATGCAATAATTTTTATTTTTTAAATTAAATATTCACCATATTTTTTATCACATCTATGAAATTATTGGCCTATATTTGCATATTTACATATCTGATATCTTTTTATGAGCTTCTAGAAACTAGGAATGGCTCATTCATAGTAATTAATAGGCACATTGTGAATGCTTATTAAATACTTATTAAACTTTACTTATTAAGCAGAATTTCAAAGCTCATTAGAGCAACTGAGCAATGGTAAATATATTAAATTATTCCTAGTCATAAAAATCCAATAAAAGCATATAAACTGAATCAACATTAATTTCAACCTAGGTTTTGAAGGGAAAACAAATAAATAACATAAGGATAGACACAACACAGACATCTTCTCCACTTTCCAAATGTGTGTACCCAGGAATCAATTCAAAATGTCAAAAAAAAAAAAAAAAAGATTTTTTAGGTAGAATCATGATACAAATAACTCTATATGAACAGTTCACAAATATCAGTTGATATTTAGCTCAGTTGTGATAAGAAAATCATGTCCTACCTTTATTTCTTTATTTCTTCTTTTAGCGAAACATTTATTGGTACATTTTAATATACATAATGATAACATTCATCATATCGAATTTTTACCAGTACATGATGTATCTTGCTTCTTCTTATAAAAAAAAGTGTTATGGCCTCTTCAGATGTGTTTTTCTGTATTCTTATCAGTGAAAACTTTATTCAAAATGACACAATAACAGTTTTTCTAGTAGATCATTTTTATATTAATCAGAATGACTCAGTTTGTTCTAAAGCATCTATGAACAATTTTGTTCATACTATTAGCTTTTAGCTACCTCAGTTCATGCTGAATATGAGACATTCATTCTCATTTGAGTCAAATATATCATGTATTGGACCTTTCAGATGTGATCCAGGGTCAACTTCAACTGTAATGTGTGTAACTTCATATTGTAAAGATTATTTTAAATCTGTTCCATGTCATGCTCACATTTCTTGACCGTCACTTGTCTACAAGTAAAGAGATTATTCTAACTTTTGTACTTTTAAGGAAGCAAAACTACACCCAAGCATCTCAACTGAGAATGTAGTATGTAAGCTATAGAATACTGAGAAATATTTTCAATCTACAAAACTGGAAATTACAGCTTTGAAATTTTGAGTTTTAATTCAGAAATTTTGAAACATGATAGCAGCCTATGCCTATGCATGTTTCTGTTTAACTTTTATATAAAAAGCTGTTTTCTATGGAAACAATACCTTCTTTGAAAGATGAGCAATAAACATAGAAACGATGCAGCAAAAATTTGAGATTTGAATAAAAAGCAAATCAGCTCATCAGTTTTCTTTAAAACAAGATAAATGTTAAATATAGTACAGATATTTGGTAGTCAGTTTCCTCACTGTCAAAGAAAATGGCTGCCTGTGAAACCTGCTGGACATGCCAAGGAAAGAACTGCAAAGTATGAAGGAACCAGAACTTGCTTGACTGGAAAACAGAACAGCTTCACCTCATGAGTAGCCTCTCCAGAGAACTAGGCTAAAACTAAGAAACACATTGGTCCTCGGAGGATGAAGTCTAGAACACCACATGGAAGACATCTAAAATGACAGCAGAATGGGATTTTGAGAATAATACAGAAAAGCAGAATTGGAGAGGGTGGATCTTTGATGGTCTTTGACAGTTTTGATTTGCTTGTAATTTCCAAAATTTACATTGCTATCATTCCTGTATTTTTTACAATAGTGCCAATGTGGAAATAAACCAATATCCACCAACTACTGAATGGATAAACATATTGTGGAATATTCATACAATGGGATATTGTTCAGCCTTACAAAGAAATGAAATTCTGATATATAGTACAGCATGACTAAACCTTGGAGACATCCTAATTTATTAAATAAGCCAGAGATAAAGGGACAGATATTTTATGATCTCACTTTTATGTGGTATCTAAAACAGTCATGTTAATAGACAAAGTATAATGGAGGTTACCAGATGCTGGGAATGGGGAGGAATGGAGAGTTATTATTTAAGGGGTACAGAATTTCAATGTGAGATGATGTATTACATATACCTTACCACAATTAAAAAGCAGAAATAAAACCTCTATATAGAATCAGAGCATTTTAACACAGCATATGTAAGGTGACAATTTATAAAAATAATTATCCAAGTCTCAATTACATAAAAATTGTACTATATAGTATAAAAATTTTAGGATAATATGCATCATGTGATATTATTATTTTTGTACCATGTGTTTTCTCTATTTTTGTATGTAGTTAAACAGCTCCAATATAAAATTTGAGGAAAATTACTTCCACTACCTTCTAGCAATTTCTTACAAAGTACATAAAATGCATGAGCTGTCTTATCCTTGGTTCTGTCACAAAACATTTTAGGCTAATTATAAATCTGCTTCTTAAGAAAGATACATGATTTATTCCAAATAATTCCGACTTGCCCTATTAGAAGTGAAGAGTTTTAGTAAATATATTACCTGGGTTTTTGATATATTCTTTGGTCCCTTGTTCAAAATCCAAGCAATTTCTCTATGGTTCTTCGAGGTGATAACTTAGTTTGATAAAGATCATTTAGAACAGCCACCATCTTAGTCCAGACATGACTGCAAAGGAAGGATGACAGCCCACTCAGTCACTGAAGCTACAAATGCTTTGTTACACAAAAGTACATCTCCCTTAGTCTGCAAGAGGTATTGTATATCCATCTTCCCTTACTGTCAAAATATTTTACAAATTAAATTGGATTTACCCGGAATTGGCTTCAAATAGTTGATATGTGGCCTGTATCATCAAAGTTGAAAGCTATCATTGAGAATATGTATCCAGAATCAAACAAATGTAAAGCTTTGCTGTTATGCTTGCTGACCAAATCAACTGAATAAACATATTTGTAATGAGTAATCGACAGTACTGGATAATCTACAAAACGGACTTTGTTTTGGATATATCTAAAGGATTCACTACTGCATTAACACAGTTCATATTTAGAATTGTAATTAATGGCTTTTATCTAGGCAGAAATATTAATCCCCAAAGCAAATTAATCTCCCAAGTAAGAGGAGATATGGCTGGGTATTTAATCAGCAATAAACAAAAAGCATTTCACTGAGATGTTCAAGATGTTGTTCTCAAGACTGCATGTTCCAAGTTAAATTCACTGAGGAATTGTGCCCAAGAGAACACACCCTTCTACATGATCTTTCCAATGTCGTCTGAATTTTTCAGACGCTTCCCCTGGACACTTCACACTAATTAAGTAAAAAAGATCAGCAATCTGACCAAGGGAAGTCACATACTAAAAACAAAGGCAAAAGACTGCACAAATAAGAATAGTTTGTTTCCAGTTAATCACATGTATTTGAAACTCCTAAATCCAAGAAAGCACGTGCATGAAAGAGAAGCTTAAAGGTTTTTGTAGGACAAATACATTTAGAGAATGGTAGGTCATTGCAAATCAACTTGTTGTGCCTAGATCGCGAAGTCCCCAAAGACCACCAGGGAGCCGATTCCGATGTAAACACATGAGGGTCGTTTATTCAAGCTTGAGCAGGGGCACTCAACCGTCACCGACACAGCGGATCAGGATTGAGAGCCCCGAATTCCAAACCAGCAGGGTTTTTATTGTGGCTACCGCAAGGTTTGGGGATGTTCCATTTAGCAGTTACATGATTGGTTGATATTAGCAAGCATGGGGTGTACATGGGGGGGCGTTGAGGGGTGGCTACATGTAGAGTTTATGGGAAAAAGGAACAATCAGCACACTAACAGAATGTTCTATAGATAATGGGCCCGGGAGCATCTGTTTTCTGGGCAGACAGAGGATTGAGTTAGGAGCTGTGTCTCTTTTTTTATCTGTTGTCCTACAGCAAGGACATTTTATCATTATTTTATGGGCACAAAGGAGACTAGGGGAATAGTTGACTTCAGTGAAGTGGAATTTATGTCAAGGCCACTTCACTGTCTTATTTTAAGATGGAGTCAAACTTTAAAATG